TACAGTAAAAGTTCCTTATTCACGGTTTCCTTATTTGCGTTTTCATTATTCGCGGGTGAAAAAATTGCAACCCAGTTTCTGAAAACAGAAAACAGAAAAGGATTCGGTGTCATTTATTAAGAGGATCGACCGCAATAGACCGCTCGTGCCTAGTGGGAATTTTTCCGAAAAATGGGTTTCTATTCTAAACATTGTGATTTAACAGTGCGAAATAAATATGTGAATTTTTGAATAGTAACAGACAAAGATGCACATTAACTCATTACATTTTTGATTTTCAGTAATATGGTTAATAAAAGCTTTTACAAGTGCTCAAAATTGATGCTTCTTATAGGACACAGAAATTAAAAAATTAAAAATGGCCTTCGACAAGCTTTAGAACAAAGCTTTATCTATCTTACTACAAAATTTCAAACCTCTGTTCCAAACATTAAATTCATGATATCTAGAACCGATAAGCATGTTTTTACTCTACGGCGCGTGTACTACTAAATCCCCTTAATGTGTCGGCATCTTTTGAGTATATACTGTTGGCAGCTTTTATAAAAGATGTAACCGAGTGGACGAATTTCAAAATTCAAAACAAGAAAAAAGCACTAAATTTTTTAAACTCTTTCCTAAAGTGCTTATAACGATTAATTTTAATTGCGAATTTATCAATACATTGATTTAATTTCGATACATACTGGTAATACTTTGGAACCTTAGAAAGTATCTCCTATGATTCCATACTAATTAATTACCATTCCATATCCACGGTTTCTGTATTCGCGGCATATTTATGGAACGTATACCCCGCGAATAAAGAGCTTTTACTGTACGTTATGATCAAGAAAGTATAATCTTAGCTGATGATGCAATAAGCGAATATGAAAATGTAAAATTTACCACCTAATTGTTTTTCCTATAATCGGCATCAGATGACTATAAGAAAATTAAACGATAGGTATAAAAAAATCATTTAAATGAAATTTTTAAATAGCACAAAATGAGCAACGAAAAAAATTATAGTTGCTCAACCATTTGATAATCACAGGTATAACTTTATTGATTTAAAAAATATCCACTAATTGTGAGACGTCAGATTAAATGGATTATATTTGGTAATTTCCCAAAATTACGGGCCTAACGCTTTTTAAAATAAAAATTAAATTTGTACAAGTGCAAGGTATGGTCGTTTTGTCAAATNACTTTATTGATTTAAAAAATATCCACTAATTGTGAGACGTCAGATTAAATGGATTATATTTGGTAATTTCCCAAAATTACGGGCCTAACGCTTTTTAAAATAAAAATTAAATTTGTACAAGTGCAAGGTATGGTCGTTTTGTCAAATACATACATTTGACTTATAGTGCTTGTCGCTTACAGGACCGTACAGTTTTTTTAAAAATAACTATAAAAATGCAGTACCTAATAGGGTTTATGACATTTGGCAGTAATTTATAAGACACTTCGAATAAGTAGGATGAGTAGAGTCAGTAGAATTAAAAACAAACACACGGAATTAAGTAGTGCATGACTAAAGAAGTAATTTTCATCTTTTAAATAAATTATTTGTTCATTCTCTGCTAGATTTATATCAAGTTAGCAAAGCAGGAACTTTTGAAAAGATGCATGTGCCATTTCACTTCTCATGAGAACACTTTAGTAGGACTTAATAAGCATTTAATTACTGCATGACTAAAGAAGTTATTTTCATGGTTTAAATAAATTATTTGTTCATTTTCTGTTAGCGTAATCTCAAGTTAGCAAATCATGAATTTTTGAAAAATGCACGGACCATTTAATTTCTCAATTAGAACACTTATTAGCATTTTAGTTGTCTGCTTTTTTCGTCTTATTCGTTCCATAGTTTACGCTGACTATTCCTAGTGAGTTATAAATTATTTTACTCAGCCCAGAGCTGTAAATACTGTCAGCTTTGATTTATAAATTGCCACACAACATAAAAAAAATAATTAATTGTAACAGTTGACATAATTTTCTAATGTGAATATAAAACCAGTCCCCTTGCGATAGAATTCCCTAAACAAAGGAAATATTACTTACTATATTGGATAACTGTCGCCATAAAATCTGTGTTCTGTGTAGAAGAAAGCGCCATTATGTGAACGAGCTATGTCAAAAAAATGACCTGACCTAGCCCAGTTCAATGAAATGCCCCATTCACCCCCTATAAACACGAACATGGGTGCACCTTCTTCATAAAACTCGTTATTTTGTATATACCTCTAAACAAAGCTTTATATTAAAATATACGTAAAGATAATTTCTATTATTATTTAATATTTTACAGGCAATATTAGCTCCAGTACCTACTAAATATTAAAATTTTGAGAAAAAGATAAATTCTTTTATTATCTATTCAATCGGGTTTGTTAAAATTTCTTTTAACTATTTAGAAATAATCTAGAATAACATTTACCATATCCCACGTCCTGTTGTCAGCTGGATTGAAATGATCAACTCTTTGAGTAATTATACCCCATTGCGGTGTAGATGCTTTAGTTTCATCAGTTTCCCTGGCAGGTGGTATTCCATGTCGCATAAATGATATTTCGCCCTAAATAAAGTAATTTATTTCGGTTTGGAGATAAAAAATATATAATTTACTTCGTTGGGATGGTATTAGAGAAATAGATCCACTAATCGACATCAGATTATTATAATAATAAGCGAGTGGTGGATTCTCAAAGAGATGCATAAAAAAGTTACTGAACATCTCGAAGAAAGTTCGAAACTGAATGGAATGGATCAATTATTTTAGTTTGAATGGCAGATAATTTGTTATTAACAAGAAAGTTTCATAATTAAACACCAAAATCGAAAAATCATTTTGAGGGTGTTCCCCTTGTTTAAATATAAATTAGAACGGTATTATTTTAAAATAATTAAAATTAAATTCATTTCTGCGACCTTTTTCGGTTGACACTAGTTCCAGCAGGAGATCCTGTGGATCGATAGAAAAAAAAACTGTTTCGATCTACGGTTAATAAGAAAAAAAAAATAGCGCGACTCCCGGGGAAAAGAGAGGACAGAGATGATAGGTATGGGTCGACGAAGCAGAAGTTGAGGTTGGTTGGTTGAGTTGGTTTCTTGTTTCGAACAGCGAGAAAAAAATTAAGAAAAGAAAAAAATGAAGTGATGAGACGACGACTTAAATGGCTTAAATTGTGTAAAAATAAAAAATAAGTTTGGTCCTCTTTTCTTAGTTAGTTTATATTTTATTTTTGTCTTTTTATTATAAAAATTGGATAACTTATAAACCAAAAGGTAATTTTTTTTTTCTATCTTAAAAATGTTTGTTGTCCTAAATTTCTGTTTTCTATTTCTTTGTATTTTGTCTTTTATTTAAATTCAAAAAATAATCTTTATAACACAGTTTTGTTGTTTTAGTGTTTGTTAATTCCTTAGTCTATTTGAATCCAAGGGTGTGTCAATCAGTGTTCTAAATTTTTGGTTTTAAACTGTTTGGCATTAACTGTTTTTATGTGATTTGTATTTTCCCACAAATTAAGGAAAAACTATTTTTCTACTACATTTCCGTTTAGTTTCCAAACAGAAAATTTTTCGAGATGTTCAGTGACTTCTTATGCACCTTTTTTAGGGTACGAAGCTCGCCTATAATGCCTAGTGACTTTTCCACGGTAATATAAACTTATTGTCACTGTCACGTGACGAAATATTTTTTGTCATAGGGCGACAATCACGCAGTTTGCTTTTTGTTTCATTTAGTGACCACACGATGGCCCATATTTTCGAACTGAGTGGTCTGATCTCCATGGGAGTATTATCAAAATTTTCTAGAGGGACGGGGCATCCACCTATGAAAGAATTTTTCCGATAGCTCCTACCGTTTTCCAGCTACAGCTTGCAAAACGTCAAAATTAGGAAGGTTGCGCTCTCGAAAATGGTCGCCCTTGAAAGTCCATTCCTCCGCAAATGTACGTCCGATCCGTACCAAACAGGGCTCGCTCGAAGCCCAATGAATGCGGCAAGTTTTTGACGGAAGCAGTAATAAATTCTGACAGTCCAGGTCCGCGCCCTGTTAAACCTGTTAGTACATAGGAAATGATTTTTGTTTTTAACGGAACACATTGTATATATGTTTTGATAGTTGGAATTTGCTTTGTCTGATTTTTAAAATGTGTAACTATAATATGTTCAGATAGATAACTATGGAGAAAATTATAAAAATAGAGTAAGTAGGTGTAAGTATTCTTATGTAGAAGAAGAGGGCTTTGCAATTAGATAGACATGTGAAATAAACTTTTTGTATCTGTTTTTCAAATATATAACATATATGTAGGATCAAATCTTTTCTCCAAAGAATACCTCACCCCAGTGTTACAAATCCTCCTCAATTCATAGTATAAACCACAAAAAACGTAACTAAATATTTACATGAATTATTTTAGCTGTCAAATAAATTCGTTCAAATGTCCATCCAATTGCAAAGTCTTCCAATTCCACACAACAAAGTCATTGGTATAACTTAAAATCTTCATTTTTTAAAATGTTCTCCATTATCAAATTATCGTTTATCTGAACAAATGACAATTATTATTCATCAGAAAAAACAGGAAATTTCAAATATCTCAAAATGTACAGGGTGTCCCATTTAAAAAAATATATTTCGACCAATCTCCTGTACATCAACAAGTTTATAACAATTTTAATAGCGCATTTAAAATCACCACAAATAGAATTGCATAAACCGTTATTTTGAATTTTCAAAATATCACTTCTTATTAAAATAAAGAGGTTATTTACTCTCAACATTAACCCCCATGTTTCATCTTAGTAAGAAGCTGGATTTAATTTTAACAATATGATATATTAACAATTTTCTGCAATATTTTTAATAGGCGCCTATTTTTTACGGTTTAACTTTAGATTTTTTTTATATACGCTCATAGATAAATAACGAATAGGTGTAGAGAAAGGCCTCTTGCTTTGCTGTAGTGCTTCATACAACTCAACGATAAGGAATGTGTTTGTTATTTATTGATCAACTTGAATAGGTACTATTAGTCAGTAAAGGTGCAAGCCATGTCATACATACGCATGAATGTCGATGTAAAAACAATCTGAATTCAGCGTGAATCTAATAATATTTTTTTCTTTGTAATGGTGATATTGAAATCAACCGTAGGTATATCAAGAATTACTAAGCCTACATAAAATAAATATGAAAATCCTAATACAAAATAATCATTCTACTAGCGTTTGTCACTACTTAAGAAAGCATTGTATCGTTTTCAGATAACATATCGGTATACTTACTTTCCGGAGATGAGACTAGTTTTAAATAGCTCTATTTAAAATACAAATACAAAATGCGAAATACTTACTTTTAATTTCTTTTAAATCCGTCTCTGTAATATTTGATATTTGAACAAGTCTATCTTTGGAGGGATAACCCTTTTCCATCATATCACATAACCTAACCTAAATCAACCGGTTTGTTGCCAACATAACAGTTTTAATTACCATGTAAATTAGTTTAATTGCTTTTAGTTATAATGAAAACATCAACGGACTAGTGCTCTGGATATAGAGTATTAAGTGCGTTAGTTAGTTCCATGTTTAACTAGACGTTTTAATGGTCAACCAAAACCAAGAAGTCGTATTATCAGAGGAGATGGCTGCACAAATTTTCATTGTCTACAAACATACTTACGCAAGAAGTGTAGATACTAGAATATTATTAGATGATGCAGAAATATTTTCTAAGAGAATTGCCACCACGGAAACCAAATTACCAAACTTTTCTTGATATAAATCATA